TCTGTTCCTTGGTGACCTCAGTCTTGCTGGCGCTCTGCTTCTGTTCCTTGGTGGTCTCAGTCTTTCTGGTGCTCTTCTTCTTTCCCTTGGTGCCCTGAGTCTTGCTAGAGCTCTGCCTTGGGCTCAGGGAAGTCTTGGCTTTTCTGGAGCTGCGGCTCAGGTATTGGTCCTCCCTGCTTCCAGAGGATTGAATCTTCAGCACTGAAGACTCAGAGCTTGTCACAGCAGTGGCTGAAGTGCTCTTATCTCCATAGTAGAGCGTCGACATCTCTGTCTCTGAGGCGCTTGTGGTCCTGACTGGGAGGGGTATACCAAGAGCACCTGTCAGGCCTGCCTCACCTCCCCTGGACAGCTCCAGGAAAGGGGCCTTCTAGGTCTCACTCAGGCCTGCATCCCTGAAGCTTTGCATGGCCAAAAGGACAGAAAGGGCTGCCAGACCATAGTAGCCCAGCCCACCTCAGTGCCCTAGGCTGGGCTGTGAGATGTAGGGTGATATCTGATGGTCCTGTGCCCCATACCTGCCCCACTCTGCTGGCTGCCCCCTGCCTTCTGTGCTCCTGCTACACAGATAGCCCACTGGCTCTGGGCCCTTTCCCCAGCTGCACCCTGCTTCACTCTTCCCATACCTGACTAAGCTTCATCTTCCTTCAGACCTAGAAGCCTCTTTTGTCCCCCGAAAAGGGGAGTAAGTGCGCCCACACCTCTAGGGCTTCCCCGCACTATCTTCCACACTGGCTCCTGGCTGGCTGGTCCCCTGTTTACCTTCATCCTTTCAGACTGGACTCAGTGCTCCCAGAGCAAGAGCTGTGCCAGTCATCCCTATCCCCAGTGTGGGGCAAAGGTCTGGCCCAGAGCACCTGATGCCTTTGTTGGATTGCACTGAATGAAGGAAAGGGCCTGGGCACTGCATTCCTTTCCTACCAAGGACCACACACACTGACCCTGGGGGCTCTGGGCAGAGCAGCCCACCAGCTTTGCCCCTTTTGTTTCTTCCAGGAAGAACTGGGGGGAAGAGCCACTGGGATATGCACAGGGTTTGTGGGCTTATTTCAGGGACAGGTCTGGGTGAGGAATGCGGGAGGAGCAGCAGCAACTGTGAAGTGTGTGTGGGCGAGACTCAGCCTCCCTGTCTTGCATGGGCATCATCCCGCTGAGTTCTCACCACACCCCTGCAGGCTTGGGATTCCTGTTGCACTGGAGCCACACAAGGCCTCACAGCAAGAAACGGCAGAGCCCAAATTCACACCCCGGCCAACAGTCTCAGACCTCTGGTCTTTGACCACTCTGTTGCCTGGGCTGGCTTAGGCCTGGTAGGTGCACTGGAGACTTACAGCACAAGATGGAGCCTGAGGAGGTCTGGTCGGGGTAAGCCTCTGTCAGGGACGTCACCTTGTCCAGTTC